GTTTAGTACTACTGTAATCTTGGCTCTATTAAATCTCATACAATCCTAGGCCCCCCTAATGCTTTTAATTAACTTTCAATTGTGGGCCCGAAACCACAAAATTCCGGGGCCGGGAGGTTTTTATATTAGGGGGGGGTGTCTAGTAAACGTGGGAAGGGATTATGTAATTTCTGAACGTCAATGTTATTGCGATTTCGGTCCGTTGCAACTGCGATCTGTCCTGGACCGGTGTTTTTGCAATTGTGCTCTGTCTGGGCCGGTGTTTTTGCAACTGCGATCTGTCCGGACGGGCGATTTTGCAATTGCGGTCTGTCGGGACCGGTGTGCTTGCAATTGTGGTCTGTCGGGACCGGTGTTATTTTCAATTAAGGTTCTGGGTTGGCCTTCAGGGTTTCGGATTGAAGGCTCTGGGCTGGCTTTTAGGGCTTAAGATTTAGGGATCTGGGTTCTGGGCTGGCCTTCAAGGCTCTGGAATGGCTTTTAGAATTCAGGTCAGGATCTAAGGCTCTGGGCCGGCCTGTGTTCTTTTTTGGGGGGCTGGCCTGTAGGGTTTAAGATTCAAGGCTTTGAGCTTGCCTGTAAGGTTTAGGATGTGGGGCTTTGGGCTGGCCTTGAAGGTATAGGCTTTAAGGTTCTGGGCTGGCCTTTAACGTTTAGGATTTAAGGCTCTGGGCTGGCTTGAGGGTTTAGGATTTAATGCCTTGGGCTGGCCTTTAGGGTTTAGGGCTCTGGGCTGGCCTGCGGAGCAAGAAACAGATACTGCTCGATCCGGAGCTTCTGAACCCAAAACCCGGAGGCCTCGACATGACCAAAGGCTTCCTCCATGGCCCTCTCCAGGAACCTCCCAATCTGAGGCTCTCAAAAGGCTTAGGGTGTAGGAATAAGGTTTAGGGTTCAAGGTTTAGGGTTCAGGAGGGTTCTCCAGGGCTTGGAATGAGCCACTTGGACTTAGGCACTTCATGGCCTCATGGCTACATATCGGTTTGTATATACGCCAGTAAGCAATCTTGCTTTACAGCCCTACTTGGAACGATTTCATAGCCTCTCAAGCGGGGTTGCTTATGTTTGCTCATGCACCCTTCGTGCCTCCGATCCTCCTCGCTGAGTTGCTTGAACTCCGAGGGCGCTGTGCCATCGTGGTACTTGGTGCCTGGGTTCGGCAGCTCGCGGGAAGGAAGTACATGCTTTAACCTGTAGCATGTATGTATGTGCATGCGTGTACATATGTGTGTATATATATATACATACATATATATATATAGGCATATACATGTGTGTATGTATGCATGCATTTCTGTATGTCTGTGTGTCTGTATGTATGTCTGTATGTATGTCTGTCTGTCTGTCTGTCTCTGGCTGTCTGTCTGTCTGTCTGTCTGTCTGTCTGTCTGTCTGTCTCTGTCTGTCTCGCTGTCTGTCTCTCTGTCTGTCTCTCTGTCTGTCTCTCTGTCTGTCTGTCTGTCTGTCTGTCTGCATGCATGGATGGGTGTATGTATGTGCGTACATATGTATGTCCTTATGTATGAATTCATGCATGTATGGGTGTCTGTGTGTACAAGTATGTACGTATGTACGTGGGTATAAATGTAGGTAGGTAGGTAGGTAGGCAGGCAGGCAGGTAGGTAGGTAGGTAGGTAGGTAGGTAGGTAGGTAGGTAGGTAGGTAGGTAGTTAATAATTAGTTAGTTGGTTGGTTGGTTGGTCGGTCGGTTGGCTGGTTACCTACTTAGTTAGCTAGTAGTTAGCTAGCTAGCTAGTTACTTAGTCAGTTAGTTGGGGTACTGCGTTAGTTACACTAGGTTACAGTCACAGTCAGCTAGCTAGGCCAGTGGTCAGGCAGGTCGGTCGGTCTGTCGAGTGAGTGAGAGAGTGAGTGCGTGAGTGAGTGAGTGAGTGAGTGAGTGAGTGAGTGAGCGGGTGAGTGGGTGAGTCAGACGGAAGATTTACATAGATTGGGCTGATTGAAATTTGCCTCTGCCCATGTTCTACCGTTGCAGCCTCTTGTGTGCTGTCACACTTTCAAGTACAACCCGAGCAACAACGGCAAGGCAACAGTGGTAATATGTAGAAAATCCGAATAGCCCGTGATAGTGCGTATTGACCGTATTGATTTAGTTACCCTAGATACTTGCACTTGCAATGTAGCCCAGAACCCTGATCCTACAAACCCACTTTCCGAGGCAATGGCTCCAAGCGAGGAGTCCGGGCCAATTGATGCCCGCCATGGCTCGATTCAGCAGCTCACAGGGAGTGTCAGCCTTCTCGAAACTGAGCTTAAGAGCCTGCTGTGGGCAACGGCTTGGTTGGGTTCTGCTTGTGTCGCTCGGATTTTGCTGCAGAAAACGGCTCAACGGCGGAGCAAGACATAATCGCAGGGCGGCGGCAGCAGCCCTACATCGTTTGCCGCTCAGCGATACACAGAGTGAGCAGGCATAGCCTCGTCTTGTTCTGAGCCCTCAAAAACCTGAACTCTAAACCCAAGCCCCCGAATACCGAATTGAAGTCCCTAGTAGAGGAGAGGCTTTAGCCCCACACTCCACGCCGCGGACGCTGCCCGAGCCATCCACAAACACTCCTTCTGGGGCCTGGAGCCACGGAAAAAGCCTAGAAGTCCAGTTGCCCCTGTGGTTGCTGTAAGGTGCGGTGTTCCCTGGGATCTTCGGTAGGCAACTTCTAGGGGCTTCATCGCTGCTGGCACCGGGCAGACTGGTTGGATTCTTGGCTCAGGACCTGGGAAGCCTTTTACAAGAGCCAACATATTCGCTTGCTATGTCAGCAAATAAGAAGAACTTCCCCCCACTCTCCCACAGCAAAAACCGCTGCCGAGCTGAAGTTCGAGAAAGGGCTTCTCATTGAAATAAGCTTGCTACCTTTCTCATCCCGACCGAAAACTCTAAGCACCAGAATCCCTAGCGGCCCTAGCGTAAGACTTCCTACCAACCCTAAAACCCAGAAACCCCCTTAACAAAAATCAAAACTGGGGGAAACCTCCAGAGCCCTCCATGCCTCGGCAGGATCTCCAGCACCCGGTGGACAATACTTCCTGCCAGGCTTGTTAGAGACTTTACGGGGGTCGGGGCTTAGGGTATCTTTGGGGGGGTTTTTGGGAAGGCTACGAATCTGTTGGAACTTCTCCTTCCCCGGAGTCCTTCAGGGCCTCTTCTGAATACGACGGTTTTTTTTTTTGGGGGGGGGGGTTTAGGGTTTTTGCTCCGGGGGGGGTTTAAGACCAAAGCCTAAAGTTCCTCTAAGGGCTCCAGAGCTTCTGGGATCCAGCTGTTGCGCCTCTTAGGACTCGAAGATTTTGGATCACCAGGGGTTTTTAGGGAGCTTTTGGGCTCTAGGGCTGTGAAGGCTTTAGTGTATTTAAAAGGCTTTGAGGGTTTTGTAGCTTTAAATTCAAGGCTTTAGGGGTTGATACAGCAGTTTGGGGCTGCAGGGGTTTAGGGCTTGAGGGCTGTGGGGGTTTGCCTGGTACCAACAACAACATTCACAAGTACATCAGAATGAGCAATCCCCTATAGTACGTTTGAATGCAATCTGTTGAATTATGATAATATTGGAACCTGATGAAGAAAAATTGGGTCTACATTAGGGTTATTAGGGTTCTTTATATTATGAGTCTAATGTATTGGGGTTACAGGGCCAGGGTTTCTTCATAAGGTTCCTACATTGATTATGTTGCATTGTCGCCAGCAAGTAGCACAAGCCCATGATGTCCCGACCCCCTTGGCAATCAAGGCCAGGAGGGCCCCGGAGGACAGAGACCGGTTCCAGCAGACGAACCTGCCCGCGCGTCGCCTGGAACGCGAGGATTCTCGGGGAATTTTGCGGGTTCAGGGTGTGGAGTGGGTGTGCTACTTGCGTGAAGTTCGATGCGATTTTTTCAAATCTCTGCTAGCTAGCCATTCACGCGGCATCTTAGTGGTAGCCAGCTGAGATTCGGGCAGAAAGTGCCGGCTTTGCACTGCCTCGAGTGTTTGCAGAATTCTCTTGTCGAAACACTGAACTGCAAGAAACAACTTAGTTCCAGTCCTGACATTTAAATCGGAATGACTGGCTATTCTGCAGTTCAGCCATGGCAGGAAATCAGTCAGTCCTCATGGTCCAGACTCCTGCCTCTATGAGTCCGACCAAATGTATCGTGTTGCATTGCATCGCGCTGTAGCCAAGGTCGCAGCTGTGGAGCGCGCATGGAAAGCGGGTTGATAGCTTCCAGCGGGTACTGAGCAAGGCAATCTTTGCTCGGGGTATTATCGGCATTGACACACAAGACGTGATCGCTCGACACTGCAGGAATTCGATCATGGCCTCTGTGGTGGCCAGGAACGTCTCCTCATCAAACTGCAGGCTGAAACATGTTTGCACCGAAGTTTGGGTGCTCAAGTTCATGCTCTTATGCTCTTGCAGTCCTCTTGCAGCCTTCGCGTGATGTCTTCTCCGGAAGCCTTGCTAGACTGGGGGATGAAACAGCCTAGCTTGCAGCTTCATCGGCGTTCTATGCGAGACAGAAGCAGCTTCAAAACGGGAACAAGAAACTGAGGAGAACCCTTCTGAAAGTACTCAGGCAACAGCATTCTGGGCAAACCAGGTCCAATTGCCCAGCGAGACGTTTGCAGAGGCATTCGGCCAGATCTTGCTGGCAATGTCAGCGCTGAAGTTCGTCCACAGGCGCCTTACAGGACAAATCCAATGCACCACATCCCCTCGTCCACAGGCGTCTTAAACCCCCTCCTTATGATCTCCCTGGATCTGAAGCATTGATTTGCAGTGACCATCATGGGGTTCAGGACCGTTTAGGACTTATCTGGTCTGACTCATGCTGCAACAAAGTGATGCTGGACACGGCTTGTCCAAGCTCGGGGCAGCCATTCTTCTTCGGACAACTCTTTCCTGGAAGAAACGTATTGTGCGCAGGGACAGCTTGCAGATTTTCTACCACCGCCCAGGCAGCCTAGGAACTGAAGTCACGAGCAACCCTGAGACTACAACGCCATACTGAAGTGGTACAAGTCCAAAGCGTGCACGCTCCAACCATCCGGGACGGTATCCCCTGGCTGGAGGGTCCTGTGTGCCAGCAGCTGTCGAAATGCCAACTCGGGTGCCTCGTTTGGGCCCGGAGCTTCTGACTTCAGAAGCCACAAGTGGAATCCCTGTTGTCAACGGCATCCTGCCTCAACAAGACGATAGCTTGAACAACGCCATACAGTACTGTACTAGTTAGTAGTCGTCATGAGATATGAGACTGGTACAGTAATGTCAGTCGACCTTGCGCAGCCACGGTATTCTGCTGACCCTTATCACCCTTATCACAATACTATATTGCTAGGAATAACAAAAAATCCCGCGGCAACTCACGCCATTTGGGAGCTCACGAAAATGACCTCCAAATGTAGACCCCCAAATCGTAGGATTCCCTCATAATGAAGACCCCACAAAGATATTTCTTATTCTCGTAAATCCGCATTTCGTGCTTGATGTTTGCCTGGGCTTGCTGCCTGCGTGTTAAAAAAGGCTTTCCGCATGACCCTCAACCCTCAACCGTCAGCGTGATTAGGGTTTAGGGGCCTTAAAACTTAGAATAGGGTTTGGGGGAGTTCTTTTGTATAACTATGTCGGGGCCATAAATCCTTTATTCCGACCCCTATAGTAGAACAGTCCCTTGAGCATTCGGTGGAGTTTTTCTGCATGATCAGCGGTTGGGATTCGCAGGTATTACTCTTTTTGCTTCATTGCCGTTGCAAACCTTATTGCTAAACCGTATTCCTATTATAGCTATTTTAGTGAAGAAGACTGTTTCCATTTTCTCAAATTAGCGGTCTCAGGTTGGATGCTATGGGCGATAAAAGTAGTGGGGCACGCTATGGGTTTGAGTATGTTGTTTGTATGGGGTTGCCTATGGTTTCATACTGCGGGCTCTTCTCAGTCTAGGTATGGAGCTTTTGGGCGGGTTGAAGGTTGAGGTATAGGTTGTTATGATTTGGGCGCTAGGGGGTTGGGCATGGTTAGAAAATGGAAATGGTCATAACTACCTAAGACACGCTCTCTCTTGCCGCCGGGCTCTTCAAACAAAAAGCCAAAGTGCTACTACTGAAAAAAAGTGAACACAAACCAAACAACTAAACCCAACATTCAACAGGGTGGGTATGTTCCTACCCGTTGGACGTCAAAGCCGAAGATCACCAGCTCCCATGCCAGATCCTAAGACTTTCATAAGATTTGAACACTCCCACGGGTTTAGGCTTCAGGGTAGTCCTGCTGCAACATGGCTGAGCTCTGCGCTAAAGAGGCCGCTTTCCCCACGGCATACTGCTGGTGCATCGGTTCGTTGAGCCTTCCAGGGGCAGACGGAAGGGCGGAGAGACGCTTTCGGAGCGTGGCTTGGGCGACGTCGAGGAAGCCGAAGTCGTGAGCCCATGTAATTGTGACAACGGATGTTAGCATACTGTGATAGACTATATGATATACTCTATAAGGGAATTAACTGCATACCGCAGTTTTGTCCGACTGTGTCAGGATGCTGAAGACCGATCTACCGCATCTATGTCCACCACCGATGCGAACTAGTAGCTTCGCCAGCTGGAACCACAAGCTCTAACGACGTTACAAGGACTCTACAAGGAGAGAGCCTCTTCCTCAGGCACTGGATGTTTGGTCCGAGAACAGGAACAACACCGAACAACTCTCAACGAAGCTCTGGTTCCCGAAGTCAAGACCAAACCTAAAAGCTGAAAACCGAGACATTTCGCATGAGAGCAGTATTCTGCGATCAAGCCTGGCGCACAGCCACAGCCTTCTGAGAAGAGCACAGGCGGCGGGGCTCCTTCGGAGCCATGCCGCTAAGGTGCCACGTTTTGGCTGCGAACAGGCAAACGCTTCTCTAGCGCGAAGCAATGCTTCACCTTGGCGAAGTACCCATAGAGAACTCATGTAGATGGGTACTGTTACAGTCATACAGTCATTATGACTGTGGCCTTTGCCAGAACGATGGTATCTCACCAAGCCAGCTCCTGCTTCGACAGGCTTTGCTAATCGTCTTGCCACGCCGAGTTTGCCACCGCGATCGAGGCTGAGAGTCGCTGCTGCTTGGCAGCTTAGCCATGCCGAGGCGACTGCCATCCGCACGGCGCCCCAACCGGAAAAGGGAGCAATAAGACTTAAAGCTAGCAAGGAGAACGAACCACGAAGCGTGATTTAATCAGCTTCGGGCGGGGCTCTCGAGGAGAACTTTTGGCAGATTTATTCTGATTCCGCTGGACTGTTCCAGCCCGATACTAAATAAGAAAGCTGAAGCTTCACGCCTGGACCGTCTGAGGCGATCCGTCATCGTAAACGGAAAGGTCTTCTGCTGACGACAACGCCGAGAGGAGACACTTTGCTTCACTCGGCGATCTCGCCTTGCGAGTAAAAGAGGTTGCGGCCCCATCAGCTTGATTTGGGGATTTACGGCATGATGTGGCCGTGGCAGGGGTCCCACAGAAAGACTTTGCGGGGCGTTGTATTCTACGCTTATACAACTGAGACAGCTCTAGACCATACCACCGCTCAAGTGCCAGCAAGCGTCCAGAGTCTGATGCTCCTGCTCTTTGCTCCTCGGTCCAGACTGTGAGACTGCCCATGCTAAGCAAACCTCTTCCGGTCTGTCCACTGTAGAAGTTGCCTGTAAGATGCGCCGATTAGTACCTCTGATTCTTGCAATACTTGCTATCATGCAAGCAGCATGCTTGTGCTAGCTTCTACTTTTGCTGTCGAGGTTCATGACGCAGCTATTGTGATACGGTGTTAATTACTAGCAAAAAGCTTACGATTACTCATAACAGTATTGTTCTTTCCAATAATTCCTTAATAAATGAGGGACAGGTGCCATGGATTGGGTTTCTGTTCTCAAGGATTGCAGCTCTCGAACGTCAGGGTCTTGACCCCACGAAAACCCCTAAACTGCCAAACTCTGGTCAGGCTTAGGTTTCGGGCCAGTTCAGGGCTGCGAATTAAGAATCCTCGCTATGTTCCACAGCCAGACACAATCAACGAATTGACAAACATAAACAGAATATAAACATGTGTGTGTATATATATATATGTATGTGTGTGTATGTATATATATATATATACATATGCCTACACATACATCCACTGCAAGCCAGGGGCAACTCTCCCGAAATGCTCGTACTTCGGAGTCGAAGACCAAAAAAGACCAGCAAAGATGAAAGGACCAGCCCAGAGACAACCATAGCCTCGGCGTTTAAAATTTAAGGCTTGAAGTTCTAGGGGGCTTTAAGGTTTACAACTTAAGGGCTTAAGACTGTAAGGCTTTTTGGCTTTCAGGCCTCACAACAGGAGTTGGGATTTGGGGCTTTAGGGTTCAGAGGGACTCTAAATCAAACGAGTTCAGGGGTGACGTCCCTCGTGGGGCTCTCGGGCTAGGAACAACGGAGTGTATTTTATTGCGGTTTGGGCCATATGAAAGAACTTGGCCAACAGACCTTGCACCTACCTGTTTGCAGCATGTCAGTTTCGCGCCTCGGACAGCGTCCAACGTCTTCGCAGGAAGCTCTAACACTCTAGGAAGAAACCCCAGATCGAAGCTTAGGGATGATACAACATGATATGTAAAGATATATAATGTACTATCATGTACTATGAGATATCATAGTAATTCTACTATCATGAAGCTTTCAACTCAAGGGGCCATCATCGTCCAAATGCCATGGCCATGAAGCCTGTCGAAATTGGTTTCCGGAGGCGACCACTTCGACTGGGAAACGGGATGCGGTAAAATTGAATATTGGGTCGGGACTAACCCGAGCCTAGCATTGGTGTGCCTAGTACTCTTTACTGTTGCGGCCCACGGCTGCTGTTGCTCTGACTAGTACTTGTAGTATTCCTGCTACACTCACAGGGAGGCTTGTTACTACTGGCCCTGGAGAGATGTGAGTAGGGAGTGCACGCACGGCTTGCCAACGACGCTGTTGCTTTCGATGGAGAAAAGGCTCAGGTTTCGGTGAAACACTCGAGTTCAGTCATGAAGGATGGGCTCGTTCAGTCGTTGCTTCTTGTGTCCGGTTCTACGCAGATCTGTCTAATTACCCACTTTCTTGTCTATATCCCCTGAGCCGCAAGCTCCATTCTGAGAAATTCACGGGTCGATCGCACCGCTGGGTCCGAACGGATAGCGAGCATGACACGAAGTCGAAGCTGGACCCAGTGCCAGTCAGAGGCCCTTTCCGCTTATGTGGCATGAGAGGAAGCTGCTGTGTATTTCAAGCACGTTACATAGCCTCACAGAACATAGATCTGTGTGAACGACTTTCGGACGAACGAAAGAATCATCCAGTCCGGGAGTTTTCTTACTGTTGTAACTGAAGGTGAAGCTACTACAGATACTACAAGGGTGTTCATGCAAGTCTTGAGAAGCTGATCGTGCTTCGATCGAGCACACGGAAGATGTTCGTCAGGCGTGCTGGAATCGAGTTACACTTTCCTTCTGCAGGACTGTGTTTTCATCCCCTACTGCCTCGTGCCTTATCCTCTCCTTGCCCTTTCCCTACGCAAGCACATTGTAGTTTCTGCATATCTCCTTCAGTACTTCAGCGCAGTGCGCGAACTTGCTCAACAGCTGGGTGACGAGAGCACAGTTGTGACGATTGCTTCAGAGCTCGGTTTGTCTTGCCCGTCTACTGCCGTGTCTCTCATTGCTCTGATCTAAAACTCTCCCGACACAGTCACGCTCGACAGTCAAGCCGCAGGAAGGCAGGAATCCACCAAACCCGACGAAATTCAGATGTCAAATCAAACCGTGCTCCTTGACAGCGTTATGCCTCCTTGCGAGACCGCCGCTGCTCATGACGAATTTGAAGGCCAATTTAATTATACTCCTGCGAAGGCCATGTTTCTCGACACTTGCCTCGAGGCCGCGGACGGTTGGCGTTTGAATTGTCGCAGGTACTCGGATTCACCGTTGACTGCAATGGCCTTGGAAAGCAAAGCGCGAACAGCTACATCGTGTTTGCCTACAATGCCTGAAAAAAAGATGAACTGGACGATGTGCACCTTCCTTGAGGCTCCAAGGTAATTAGAATTTTCTAAATTATGATCTAACATGATGACGGTAGAATGTGCAAACTCGTAACACAGTGTTTTCTCCAAGCCAGAAATCATAAACCCAAACCCAACAGCAAAAAACCCGCAACTCTCAGCACCAAGGGTCGTCAAGCAAGAGATCGACTGCGTAAGATGAAGCTTCAGGCTTGTCGGCTGGGCACATGTGCCCAGCTTCCTCTATCCTTAGTTCACCACAGGTTCTTGGGTTCAAGGATCAGGTTGGCTTTGGTCTACGTCTAGAAGTTACCCTCAGCGCATTTTGATGCAGTAGCCAGCCTAATTGCTAAACACTTGGCAGAACCTCGAGAATAAGAGACCTCCCCGTTTTAACCATATTTGCAAGTATAGCTTGCGAGGAAGGCTCATGCTTTCAACCCTGCCTTGTAGGCTATAAAGGGCTTCGGGGTTCAGCTCCAGAGCAGTCCCGAAAACAAAAATCTGCATCCTCACTACTGGGATACATGGAGTTCCTGCAAGACAGAAAAATACCAACATTTGCATGAGTATTGAGAATAGGCAGTGAGCTATAGCCAGAATCCAAGGACGAGGCCCGAGAACCGGATTAAGACTACGACGTGCAGCTCCTACTGGGCTCTCCTCGAAAAGCTGCACGTGTCGCTTAATCACCGACAGCTAAGATCAGCAGAGCATCTGCACGAATGTCAAGCCTTAGCGACGAAGCTGCATAGTCCATGTGCTGGGAGAGGAGACGGCAGCTTATACGCGTGTATATATGTATGCACATGAGTCTGCATGATGCTGGCAGTGCCGGCAGTTGCAACGAATGTGCTAATCTGATACCGACGACGATGATCAGAACCACATTCACTGGAACAAGAACGACCATGACCGTGATGGTACTGTTGGTATATGATGAGGAAGAGATGACTACGCCGCGCTGACTAAGAAGATGATCATGATGATTGGGTACCATGGTGACGGCAACATAGCACGATGACCGTTACCATCTTCACGATGATGGTGCTGCAGTTGGTCACGAGGATAAGTTGAAAGATCATGGATGACGATCCAGGTTTGGTCGTTGTTGTTGTTGTTGGTGGTGGTCGTGGTGGCGGTGGCGGTGGTGGTGGTGGTGGTGATGATGCTGACGATGACGATCACGATGACGACGACAATGACGATGATGATGATGATGATGATGATAACGAGGATAATGACGATGATGCCACTGAAGTAGACGATGCTGACACTGACGGTGAATACTGATACTGGTGTAAAAGGAGAAGAATCGGGGTAAGGAGAACATTCAACAACAGCAATCATTCCCACTGTCATGGTGACATGACTATTGATCGCGGATTTGGAGGTGGCGATGGTGATGTTGCCTATGGACTATGGAGGTTTTGCTGCTTGTTCCTGTCGATGTCTTCCTCGCCGTAATCGTCATGAACGTCATCATCACCAGCACCCTAAACCCTAAACCGCTAAACCTTGAAGGCCTGAAACCCTAAACCCCCGCCTCCGCCGGACTGCTTTTGCCCGAAGGTCTGGAAGGACTCCATGGGCGCGCTGGAAAACTCGTTCTGCCGTTCCCAACGCAAGGAGCTAGCAACTGCGTAGCCGCCTTAGAGCAGCTTAAGGGCGCGATTTGGATGAAAGCCGAGGCCACATCTAAGAACATCCTCAAGAAAGCAAGTGCTAAGGACAGGGCCGACATAGTCGCATGTAAGATCTCTCATTCCATACATCAGCAGAACAGGGATGCCCCAGTCTAGCAGGTCTGAAAGCGTAGAAGTGTAGCCAAACGGGGGTCCCTTGTCGAAGCCACTGGGCAAAGAGATGCAGCCACCCGCGCAGCCGCCGAAAGTGTCTCGTCCAGCCGTGCCGCAGATATTGAGTGCCTCAAGCACATCTTGCCGCGAGAACCAGCTGGAAAAGTTGGAGTAATTGTACCCGTAGCATCCGCAGCAGGGTCCTTTATCCGGCAGGGTGTGGTCGTACTGGTTGGGCCGGTACTTCAGGAATAGCGCCATCTGTTCTGAGGCTTCCCACATATTGTGCGGAGCAGCATACTCAGGCAGCAGACCTGATTGCTTGGAGTATGCAACGAAGGTGTCAAGATTCTGGATATCGTCGTCGATGCATGCACTGCTCAACGCGATTCCTGCAAGGCCTATGGGCCGGAGATCCCCTGAGTTTCGATTGTAGTCTGCCACGGCCTTTGCCCAAGCCGGAACGAAATGGCCTGCATAGGACTCACCGGCCAACACGAACTTCGGACTCAGGATCTCCGGGAAGAGCGCTTGCCAGCCCAGCAAGAACTGGACCATGTCCAGTCCAGCTTGAGCTGAGGAGTTCACGAAGTGTCCTCGGCCTGTGGAAAAGCCCACATAGCGAGGCTGGTCTACGATCAGAACATGGGCCCGCCGGTTCCAAGCATACTTATTGTAGGACAGCTTGCCCGAGAAGCGTGATGACGTCTTTACGCCATCCAAAACGAGTGGTCCAATCTCGGTTGCAGCTCCCTCCATCGATGTGCATCCAGGTCCACCGTTGCCCCACACAATGACAGGGGAGGATGCTTCTGGCTCCATAGCCTCGAAAAACCAATAGAATAAGTAATCATCACGTGTCACATTCACGTAGCCTGGCATTGAGATGTCGGCCAAGAGAAGAATTCTTGAATTAAAACTCTGTTGTCGTCGAACTACACACAAAACTCACAGCCTCACTACTGCAAACAGAGCAGCCGCTATACATCACAACCCCGGGGTCTTCCGATATGAGCTCTTGTGGAAAATAGACCCGAGCTTTCGGAGCAGGCTGGCTGCAGATTCTGGCCTGCGCCAGGGAGCCAGTTTTGGTTGGACGAGTAGTAAGAGTCACTCATTGCTACGACCACTACGACTATTGCGATGAATTTGAGTTTAAAACTATGAGGGGGTTCACTCGTGCTGGGCTGTTGCCGTTACTGCTCTGATTGCTGTTTTGCTGAGTCTTACCGCACCGTGGCACGCATCTGAATAATACGAATTAAATGTTAGCAGTGTAGCTGTGTTGATGCTAGGAATGCCACAAGAATGTCTAGAACTACCATTCTTGGGAGCATTGGCAAGCGGTTTCGCACTACTTACTGCTGCTGCTCCTTCGATACTGCTGCTGCTGCCGCCGCTGCTGCTGCTGCTACT